TTCTACCCCCTCTGCCACCTGGTACTCAGCAGAATTTTATCTGCAAGTACATTTGAAAGAAAAATATTATCTGACTTTATATACTTTTTTCTTTAGATGGCTGAGCTTTTCCTTTTCAGTGTTCTCACCTTTCTAATTTTTCGTGCAGTCAAGAAGTATTTTCCTAATATGTTTGATCATTTCCAGTATTTTAAGTTATTATGAAAATATTTGGGTAATATCTTAAATATATCATTCTGAAGTGGAATAGATACAGAAGGTTACAGCTGTAAGAAAGAAGCCCAAAGCATTCTCCAAAGGTGACTTCTGTGCTAACTTATTTAACATTAACATAAAAGTTAAAACTTTACTATGGTAAAAACAAATTTTTTTAAATTTGTTGTTTAAAAAAAGGAAATCAAAACAATCTAGAGAACATAAGTCAAGGGTTATTTAATCTTTTACTAAGTCAGTTGGGGGGTGATTTGGAGAGCGGTTGATTGTGCTAGAGTGAGCAGGAATCCAGCAAAAAAGAGCTAATTGCTGTCTAATCCTGCTTGCAATGGAACAAATACACTAGTAAGTATTACAGTTAAGCCAGGTGTAATGGTTGGATTAAACACATTCTCTTATATCAGTGTTAGAACCAGTATATATTCAGCCTCAGGATGGGAAAGAGTTGTAGTTATATCTATAGTTCCCTAATTTAGTTTTGCTTTTTGAAATCCATTTAAATTAAGATTGGGTTAAGTCAAAGACACTCTCCTTCCATCACTGTCTGTCATTGTGAAGTTTGTGTGGAACTCTATTAGTTTGCATTTCAAGAAGTATCTTTGCTTGTATAGTAATAGAACCTAAAAAAAGAACTGTCTGCTGGTGTGTGCCCAACCAGGGCTTGGTGTTTAAAAACAACATGCTGTGCACTTGGGGCATGGAACCTTCCTTCACATATGGGTACAGCAATGTCTTTGGACACGTTTTCTGTGTAAGGGGAAAATTATCAGCATTTTGAGGAGTGACAAAATTTCCACTTGGTACCGGGATCTCTAGGACCATGGATATCAGAGATACATATCCATAAGCAAGTATTTCAGGTTGGCTATTTTGCGGAATTTTGTCCATGCATACTCAAAGTTCGCTTTGCATTCTTGAATCCTCAGGCTTTGTAACACTTTTGGTTAAAGGTAGTAAGGTAGTCAAATTGACCTGAAAATGCTGGAGAAGGTTTACCAAGGCTACTCACCTGGAAGTTTTATGAAGGAGCTAAATTGTAATGACAGCTGGATAAAACAAATATTTCTAATGACTACTCAAGGTATAGCTGACAACTGTTTGGGGAACAAAACAACAAGAGAAAAAAAATGATCTGTTTATGCCGAAAGGGCTCCCTGAAGTAGATTTTGTCACCATTGTGAATGGGAAGACAAACATCCTCTGACCTGTTGTGTGTGCGAGTTCACTTGTCCTGCGCCATTACAAATCAGGCTTGCAAATGTGATGCATTAGTCCCAGGATGGAGAGCTCTGCTGCATACACCAAAGGCAGTGGACTTCCAGTGAACGTGCAGATATTCTGACTTTACACTTGTTTCTGTATGACTGAGAGTTGATCACATTGACAGGCTTGATTGCTTAAAAACAAGATGCCAACCTATTAGCAATGCTTTTATTTGCTTCATTTTAAATATTTAAGGAACTCAAGAATTAAAGGAAATAATCTTCATTCTAGTTAGCCACTATATATGTAAGAGCAATCTGATTTACAAATGTACCAAGTTTAATAAAACTCATCTTGTTTTAAGTGATCTGAAAAGATGAGCCACTGCAGAACCATAGAATCAAAACCCAGTTTTGTTTTTTTTTTTTTGCTTAGAAGGAAAGTAAGAGCTAGAGGAATTATTCCAGTGTTCTGAAAAGGAGAGGACGAAAAAAGTCTAGAGTAGTGTAGCTTTTTATTGACTCACATTTTCTCGAGCAATAGCTTCTCCAAAGTTCCTAACTCCCTGAAAAAGCAGAGGACTCAAGGAAATACATTTCTTCCTATGTTTCATATGAAAAAATATTTATCATGGTTGATATGTGTTGTGAATTAGACTTGGAGGGAAAAGCAGTCATGGCAAACTTTATTTTCATGATGCTTAATTTGATGAATGTTACTTTATTAAGTGTTTATCACCAAGTTACACTTGCAATAGGAATTCTACACTTTAATATGGTCTGCTCCTCAAGAATGCCTAGATTCTAGTCTAAATTATTTCACTAGCTATTTGTGTGGTTTTAAGCAAGCCAACTTTTAGCTCAGTTTTTTTTAATCTATAAAATGTGGTTGTCCATGATAGGCTGTCTGTAAGATGACTTCTAAGTAGAAAGATTTGGTTCTAGGAATTTAGATCTAATTCAGGATAAAATGGGAATCTGTGCAAGATTTTTGAGTTCTGATATGATGAAAGTTCATCTTTTCAGTATTATTAAATAATTACATTGACTCTGCAATGATTCTGGGCAATTAGTTAAACTTCTTACTGGAAAGAGCTGGAAGGATACTTTCTTCACAAAAGCGGAACAATTTAATCCACCTTTGAGTAACAGTATCACTGCCCCCTTCAGTAAAGTTTTCTTTTAAAAGACATAATTTTACTCTTAACTGGTAACTTTATACAGCCCTGCTCTGGATACATCTAATGCATAAAGTAATGTCAACCTTTATCTGGGTAGTCCTCTATTCTTTTAGAGACAAAGCCCTGACAAGGAAATAAGATCCATTAGGAGAGATTCATGTGACAGAACCAGAGAAAAGCTCTTTGTATTACTACAACAGGCAAAGGCAACTAGCAGCTCAGGCTGAGACATCAGATATGTAAATCAGGCCACTGCCAGATTCTATCCACTGAGTCAACCCAGCCGTCATGGCTGAGTCGTGCTGACTTCCAGGCTCAGGAATTATCTGAGGACATCTTCTCACCTTCTCTGCGTGGCTTTTGCGCTTTGTGTTTTATTTACATCAGTATCAGTTAGAGATCTAGGAAGGAGATGAAACTCAAATCGACCATTTTTTCTCCCTGCAACTTAGATAAATTACTTAGTTGAGAAGAAAATTTGAAATTTTTGACTTAAATTGTGATTTGGATTATTGGTGCATTTTAACTATTCATCTCGTTTGTTTTTTCTATAGCTACTAATAATTGAAAGCTGACTGCAGAAAATAGAATAAATTTATTATTCTCAATACAATAGAAGCTGTTGACTTAGAGAAAATCAAATGCCCTTATGAAACAATTTCACATGAGCAATGATTTTATGTTCTGAGAGTATTAATGATGAAATATGTGAGGGCACAATTTGGGACTTTTATTACTAAAAGATTTCAGGTTATTTCTGAGGAATCTCAAAGAGAAGCTTTTTTTGAGGTAAAATTATACTTGATTATCTCTTTATGAGGTTTATTAGACAATGAGAAAAACAGAAACAACTTATACCACCGGGTTAACAAATATTTACTTGGGGGCTTTTGAGAAGAACTTGAACTATAAGGTTTTGGAGTATGTTTTGATCCTAAATTTATTTTACCTCAAATAAGCATGTAATAAAGTTTTAACATTTGTTTTACTTTCTGATATTTGAGTATTGTATTTCTATAGGGGTAATCCTGTTAAAAGCTTTATGCTTATTTTTCAGTACTTAATTTGAAAGAGAATTAAGAGCATACAAAATTACAGAAAAATGAGGAAGCCTAGAAAGAAAAAGAGTGGAGAAATCTAGAGACAAAAAGAGAGATGGGAGTTCAAAAAGATAATTACAAGTTTAAGAAGTGGTCAGTAATAAATAAAATGTTTTATTGCACACACATATGTGGGTAGTAGAGAGGGAGAAGAAATAAGTATCACAAAAGTAAAACAGGGGAACAAAGTGATTATGTAAATGGATAGATGCATCTGGGAGTACAAAGCTGAATAAGATTGAGTCCCTGCTCTACTGGAATTACAATTTACTGGAGAAGCAATAAGACGGAAGAATATAGCTAAAGAATAAATTATAAGATAGAAAATAAAAAATTCCATGAACAGATTAAAAAAATAGAATGTTTTGGGAATATGGGGAGTGAGAAGGAGACAGAAGCGGAAATCAGGAAACAAGTAGAGAAGAAGGCACTGAAGTGAGCTTTGAGGCCTGTCAGGATTTTGATCAGGGGAGATGGCTTAAGAAGGCTTCCCTAACAGAAAAATGTGTGGGAGGAGGAACAAGTAGGGTGCGTTTAGAGAAGCATGATTCATCCATGTCATATGAGACTTAGGGGAACTGGAACACCATAGCTCTAGGTTAGAAAAATTTTACTTCATTCAGTAAGCAAGGGAGAAAATGACAAAGCCGAGAATTAGTTAGTACTGTACTTTTGGATGATGATTCTGGAAGTGGCATTTAGGAAGGAGTGAGATGGGAAGGACCAGAGCCTGCTGGTAGCTGACTTCAAACCCACCTTTGAGTGCTACACAGGGAGCTTTGAGAGAATTTGGAGAAGATAGGAGATACTTCATTTTTTTGGTGGGAGTGGGGTGGGGGAGAGACAGGGAGGAGAAAATGGAGCAGATAATATTTTTAAGGGTGACTTTGCTGCCTCTGGAAGGATAAACAACCCTATTCTTGTTCTCATTGCTATTATGTTCCAATACCACTTGCCTTGATATTGCAGTAATCTTTGGTGTTAAGGGAGTGGAATTAGGTATTTATGATTATGACCTGGGACATAAGGAATGTATGTACATTTATTCGACAGCTACTTATTTGGTGCCCACTGTGTGCCAAGCGTGTTACACAAAGGAGTAATCATAAGGAAGGTGACACTAGCCTCAGTGTTAGGATGAATGGGGGTTGGAACAGAGCTCACCCTTCCCATCCCATCTGTTGTGGTGAGACTATGGCTTCCTGTTACTGGAGATATCACGTGGGTCTTTCTGTATGTCATCTTCCCAATGAGCCAGTTCAGGGATTCTGACAACCACCTTTTTGATGTTTGTTTTGTAACAGATGATTCAAGAGAGCCGGTTTCTCATAGAAATGGCGGACACAGTCCAGGAAAAGATTGTACAGTGTCAGAAAGCAGGTAACTGTTTTTATTTTTTTTTTCTGTTTTTTTTTTCTACTTTGTTTAGAAACTATAATAATTCTTGGTAGATTTTTTTTTCAAAAACTTTCTGCTGCTTCTCTTAAAATTCAATTATTTTATAGCATTGCTTAACTATACTTTAAGTTACACTTTAGTCTTTGTTTAGTACAGACGAAATCCAAGTGATAATAGGTGGGTTGTATGTGAGTATACAGGGTTGGGGTGGTATCTGAAGATGTCTAGAGGGATGAGGGTTTCTGAATCTAGTTTTGTTGTTTGGAACCCCATCAAAATCTTCTACTGCTGGTATTGAAGCTATGGTTCCATACAGTCCCTTAAAACCCACTTCAATTTTACAATTGGAACCAAAATCCTATTAGTCTTCTAGGCTTGTGCCCCATTACTAGTCTTCACTTTAGATTTAGATTTGTTCTTTCTTTTTAAGTATGAGATGAGTCACATATCTGTGAGAGTGCACTTGTTTATTTCTGTTCACCTTCATCCACACCCTTGTGCTTTCATCTTCTGGATCCACAGCCTTCTCTATCTACACACATAATAATGATGATAATGATTATGACGAGGAAGACGACAACAGTAGCAACTGCTTGATACATATGCATATGCTATACCAAGCACACACTGTTTTACTTATGACAACTCTGCAAAGTAATCATCATTATGTCAGATTTATAGATGAGGCACCTGAAATTCTGAGAGACTGAGTGACTTACCCTAGGTCCCATATCAACACGTGGTGAAGCTGCCCTTTGAATTCAGACCAAACTTTTAAAATGGTGTTTTTCACTGACTGACCAGCAGGCTTAGATGTTTCTGTTGACAGGAAGCACAAAAATAATAATACCTGATACTTACATGATGGCAGGCACTGCTCTGAGATCTTTATATGTATTGATTCACTTAAACTTTACCTCAATCCCATGAGGTAAACCCACTTGTTAACCACAAGTCACCAGTGAGGAAATTGAAGCCCAGAGATGTCAGGGTCTTCCCTAGGCTCACATAGCTAGTAAGTGGTAGAGCTGGACTCCACATTCATGTTCTTTACTATGCACGATGTTTGTGATGTTAGCACCAGGAAAGTTAACGTGGTCTTAGGCTGCATTAATAAAAATATAAAAACTAGAACAAAGAGAATGGTGGTAGATCCCTGACCTCATGTGGGCTTCTCCAAGCTTTTGAGTATAGTGTTCACTCCTGGAGGCAGGTTCCCACAGAGCTCAGCTCCAGGAAACTGGGCAATGCAATGGCCTTGCTTGGATGCCATCCTTAAAGAAGAGTTTCATTGGTAAGCTGAATATGTTCGAATGGTTAACCTAGAGAAGACTTGAAGGGATTTTACCCAATATCTTTCTTCAAATATCCAAAAGCTTGCACTGTAGAAAAGAGTTTAGAGCTTTTTGGTCTGCATCCTGCTAGCACCAAGGAGTAGAAGTTCCAGGGAAGGAGAAGAAGTTCCAGGGAAGCTATGACTCGATATCAGTCATAGCTTTCCGAAGATGGAATGAGCTGTTCATAAGAGAATGTGACTTCCATCTTTAAGGTGCTAAGACAAAGGCTGAAGAAACATGATGGTGATGGTTTTCATAATCTTCAAGCTCAAGTAGACGGTTGAGCTAAAAACACTTTAAGGTCATTCCCAAATCTGAAACACTTGGGTGTTTCCCAGAATGGTATTTTTTAAAAAGTCTTTTTATTTTTAGTCAACATTGCTAATTACTTATTGTTATCTATGTGGGCTCCAGGGCCTACTATTAAGCCACAGGGATGGTTCATAAAGAAAAATAAGACATATGCATTCCTCGCATATGGTTGCCATGGACACATCAGATCATTTCATGCATAAACCAGGAAGAGGACAAACAAGGTCGATGTAACCTGTTGGAAGAATTTGCTTCTTATTTACTTAATAAATTTTTTTTTAATTTTTAATTTTTGTGGGTACAGAGGTGTATATATTTTTAGGGTACATGAGGTGTCCTGATACAAGCATGTAATGTGTAACAATTATATCATGAAAAATGAGGTATCCATCCCCTCAAGCATTTCTCTTTTGTGTTACAAACATTCCAATTATAATGTTTTACTTTTAAAAGTACAATTAAATTATTATTGATTATAGTCATCCTATTGTATTATTAAATACTAGGTCTTATTCATTCTTCCTATTTTTTTGGACCCATGGAATTTACTTTTTTACTTCTCATGACATTTTCTATGGGTCCTGGCTGTTTTAAATGCAATTTAGTCCAATGCATTGACTATTGTCAATTTGTGCATAAGGACACTACTTGGTGGGATGAACAGAATGAAAAGGATGATTCAATTTAGGGATTTGGAAATTATGAGAAGACAGGAATGTGAAATTATATTTTACTGATAATATTTTCATTATAAGATGCCCATTTTTCTGAGATATATACTCAGATTTCTTATGCATTCTTTCTTCAAAGGGATGGAGTTCCATGAAGAACTTCATAATTTGGGGGCAAAAGAAGGCTTGAAGGGAAGAAAACTCAACAAAGCAACCGAGAGCTTTGCTTGGAACATTACAGTATTGAAGGTAGATGAAACATTCAGAAGTCCCCTCTGCCTTTGCTTTTCTCCTCCTCATCTCTCCAATGTGTAGAGAAATGTCAAGGATTAAATATGATGGTTTGGATTTTTTAACCTCTACTTTAGATTCAGGGTTACATGTGCAGGTTTGTTATATAGGTAAACTGCGTGTCACAGGGGGCTGCAGTACAGATTATTTCATCACCCAAGTAATAAGCATAGTATGCAGTAGGTAGTTTTTTGACCCTCTGTCTCCTCCCACCCTCCATCCTCAAGTAGGCACTGGTGTCTGCTGTTCCTCTCTTTGTGTCTATGTGGTCTCATTGTTTAGTTCCCACTTACAAGTGAGAAGATATGGTATTTGGTTTTCTGTTTCTACATTAGTTTGCTTAGGATAATGCCCTCCAGCTCCATCCATGTTGCTGCAAAGGACATGATCTTATTATTTTTTATGGCTGTGTAGTATTCTGTGGTGTATATGTACCACATTTTCTTTATCCAATTCACTGTTGATGGACATGTAGGTTGGTTCCATGCTTTGCTATTGTGAATAGTGCTGTGACAAACAGACATGTCCATGTGTCTTTATGGTAGAAGGAATTATATTCCTTTGGGTATATACCCACTAATGGGATTGCCGGGGTCAAATGATAATTCTGTTTTAAGTTCTTTGAGAAATTGTCACACTGCCTTCCACGTGGTTGAATGAATTTACATTCTCACAAGCATTGTATAAACATTCACTTCTCTCCACAACCTTGCCAGTATGTGTTATTTTCTGACTTTTAGCTATTCTGACTGTGAGATGGTATCTCATTGTGGTTTTAATTTGCATTTCTCTAAGGATTAGTGATGTTGAACACCTTTTTATATGCTTGTTGGCTGCGTGTGTGTCTTCTGCTGAAAAGTGTCTGTTCATGTCCTTTGCCTACTTTCTAATGGGGTTGTTTATTTTTTGCTTGTTAATTTAAGTTCCTTATAAATTCTGAATGTTAGACCTTTGTTGGATGCATAGTTTGCAAATACCTTCTCCCATTCTGTAGGTTGTTTTTTTGCTGTCTTGATAGTTTCTTTTGCTGTGCAGAAGTTCTTTAATTAGGTCCCACTGTCAATTTTTGTTTTTGTTGCAATTGTTTTTGGTGTCTTGTCATGAAATCTTTGTTAGGTCCTATGTCCAGAATGGTATTTCCTAGGTTAGCTTCCAATTTCAATCTTCTGCACATGACTAGCTAGTTGTTCCAGCACCACTTATTGAATAGGAAGTCTTTTCTCTATTGCTTGTTGTTGTTGACTTTATTGGCGATGATATGGTTGTAGGTGTGCAGCGTTATTTCTGGGCTCTCTATTCTATTCCATTGGTCTATATATCTGTTTTTATACCAATACCATGCTGTTTTGATTACTGTAGCCTTGTAGTATCGTTTGAAGTTGGATCATGTGATGCCTTAAGGAATGTGTGGCTTGATCTCTAGGTTCATACTCTAGGAGATGGGGAGCTGCATACTGGAATTGACATGGTTTTTGCCTTAATAAGGCAATGAGGTTTTTGGTGCAGACAGGGTACAGCCCATGTGTGAGATTAATTTGCCTGGTGTGTGTGTGTGTGTGTGTGTGTGTGTGTGTTTACTCACATGAACACTTACGTTCAAGTTAATATGGCTGTTCTTATTTGTGGAAAGAATAATGACAAATGCTTCTGGGGAAGGTTCCAACACAAATGATTTCGAAGAGACAAAGTACAGAATATCTAGGGCCATTGAGGATTTTTATTTTAAGAACAGTTCCTATAAATACATTTCTTTTTGCAAATAGCTTTGGAAGTAATTTTCTTGAGAATATGATTTGCTCTCTGCTGCACATTAATTTTAGGATTTTGAAGTAAATATGGTACCTTTTATATTTTCTTACATGAAAAGAGAAATGATTTAGGCAGACAGAATATATTCTTTACAGCTAAATGGGAGAAAAATAGCTACAAAAATTAATAATTGCTGACATTTAAAGAACACTCATTTTGTGCTAGGTACTGTTTTATGAGGTTTATATGAATTAACAATTTAACACTCACACCACCTCAGTATTGTTATTAATCTCATTTTACAGGTGAGAAAACAGAGGCATTGCAAGTCTGTGTATATTTCCTTAGGCTGCTCAGCTAGTAAATGGTGGAACTAAAGTCTGAGCTCAGGTAGTCTGGCTCCAGACTCTATGTCTTTAACCTGTGCTGCAGAGATACTGCCCATGTTTATGTGAAAGTGTTAGTAAAACATATTACAAATGTCTATTAAAAATTCAGTCCACAAGTGATAAGCCCCTACTATGCATTGGGCTCTGTGTTAGGCATTGGGGATACATGGAGATCACAAGATGCAGACCCTGACCTCATGAAGTTAGCAGTCTGAGGCCGGTGGAGGAGGGGGATGGATAAGGCATCATTTGCTTAAGGAGCAGGGATGACCTAGAGCTGTAGTGTCAAAGAGGTGCTTATTATAACCCTAGATTATAATGTGGCAGTGTGAACCCTGATATAAACACTTTATATTCAGAAGATTTTATATGGGCTTGTTAATGTACCAATCACAGAAAGGTACTAGGGATTCAAATAACAAGAAGATTACCTGGGTCTCTAAGACTAGTCTATAAGGAGAGACAGACATGTAATAATGGCCATCGATTGTTCAGCACTTAATTTGTGATCAGCACTCAAGGCTAGGTACTTTATAGACATTTCCCCTTTCTTCCTTGCCACAACAGTGCAATCTTGCAACATGACATGCTGACTCTGGTAGGACTCTCTCCATCTCACAAATGAGGAAATTGAGGCTTGTGGGGGGTTGAAGTTTCTTGCCTGGAGTCACACAGCTAGTAAATGGCCAGCCTGCAATTTTTAACTCATGCCCATGGTTTTATCCACTACACTGTTCTGCCTCCTCTAAAACTCCATCCATGTGGCTGAGTCCCTGTATTAGTCTTTTCTCATGCTGCTAATAAAGACATATCTGATAATGGGTAATTAATTTATAAGAGAAAGAGGTTTAATTGTCTCACAGTTCAGCATAGCTGAGAGGGCCACAGGAAACTTACAATCATGGTAGGAGAGGAAGTAAACATGTCCTTCTTCATATGGCAGCAGCAAGGAGAAGTGCTGAGCAAAAGGTGGAAAAGCCCCTTATAAAACCATCAGATCTTGTGAGAACTCACTCACTATTATGAGAACAGCATGAGGGTAACCTCCCTTATGATTTGATTACGTCCCACCGGGTCCCTCCCACAACACATGGGGATTGTGGAAACTACAATTCAAGATGACATTTGGGTGGGGACACAGCCAAACCATATCAGTCCCGTTGGGTTCAGGCAGCCTAATGCAGAAATAAGAATGCAGGCCCCGTGTGATTACCTGACAGTGGTGAGACTAGCCAAGTTATGTAATCTCCCTCAGGGTGGTAATAATACCTACATCCCAGATTTTGTGAGAATTAAATGAGATAATACATACAAAAGATGTAAGTCACAATGCAGAAAACTAGACAGTATATATGTTGGCTGTTAGTTTTGTTTGTTTGCCAGGTGAGGATGAACATGGAGGAACTAGTTTTTGTTATTTTTGTTTCTTTGTTAACTTCTGACTTAAGGCCACTTAGTGTTGTCAGAGATTTGTTAATGTGTCTGGTTTAGTGACAGAAGCTTATTGCTAGATGTGAATGAGCAAATGCTGTTCAAATTATTCCAAGAGAAAGCTTTTCAGACAGAATTGATCTTCTATTATTATAACTCACATACTAGCTGCTGGTATTTCAGCTTGAGCACCAGAGTAGTGGACTACTACTCAACAAGAGTAGAGAATATTTCCATACTTCCTATAGCTCCTTCTTCTCCTCCATTGAGTTTGGGGCCTGTTAATCTGGTGTCCTTTCCTCAAGAACTGGACAAATGACCTCCTCTGAGTTTGAATCGTTAGCTGAGAGAAAAAGAACCTGGGCTCTGTTGAAGACTTTTTATTCCAGTGGTGCTGCTCTAAGAAGACATCTTTTTCTATAAGATTCTTCCTTTAGTTCTTATGCCTTAGATCTGAAACACTTGGTTCCTACTTGATTCTCTAGCCTTGCTATTGATTTTCTGAGCTCCTCAAAGTCTTTTAATAAATACTCTTTGTTTATAAGTTTACTAGATTCAATTTACCCTTGCTTCCAGGTGGTTGAATGATTAATAACCATCCTGGAAAGACATTATCACTGAATTAGGAGGCTGTGGCATGACTTACCTATACAATTCTGCATTGCCTACTGAAAAAGTTTCCTTATACACGATTTAGACTAGTATTCCCCACTATCTAGAGAGAGAGAGTGGGAATTAACCAATACTGGTTAAATATGTTGGTTTATATTTCTAAAAAATATTTAATTCCAGTGTAATTTCCAATAAGTAAGGAAGGAGCTGGAAAAAAATGAGAAATGTGCCCTCAGCCAGTTGGGGGATTGACAGCATGGAGTGGTGCAAAGGGGCATAGGCTTTAGAGTAAATTGAGCTGAGACTGAAAAATAAATTGTTTTGTGTTTTCTGCAGTTCAATATTACATTTATCTGATATTAAAAATGACAGGGAAGCTGGAGAAAAAATTGCAGAAATAAACATGACTAACTCTACAATATAATGAATAAGAATTATAATTACAGTGTCCAAATTGTTCCAGAGACCAGGACTTAGTATTTAGCAAGGAAACTGAAATCAAGGTGGTTCTGGAAGATCCCATACTTGTGTTTTTCTTTAATTCATATTCTAGCACCTACATGAGTCCAGTGTAGGAACTTGCTTAGCGTATCTTTTGCATTTTTCCACACTTTTGCCATATGTCTATATCCAACTGTAGCAGTCAATTTCCTCTTCCTTTCTTTCTTTTTCACTATTGTACACAAAATTGGTCTCCTTACATAGCCACTGTATTTATTTAGGATGATAGGATGACTCAGTCCTCAGTACCTTTTCAAGACAATCACTGAATCAAAA